CTCTGAATAACCAGACTCTTTGTTCTCTTACGATGGAGCAACGAGGCATTGTTTGGGCTGAAGGTTGGCACTGGTGGGATTGTGGGTGAGGCCAGAGGCAGAGCAGAAGGCCTCTGGGCCAGGCCTTGAGAGCCAAGTCAGGGATTATTTTTGTTCCTCATTTCATGGCATATGACCCAGGCTTAACCATGCCATCTGTCCCCCACTCTAACACTTACCCTGGCAGGCCCATGAGGGTCACTGTGGAGCACTTAGGGGGAGGAGGAGGAAGAGTAGGGATACGTCTGAGCTGGCTTTGGCTTACCCCTGTTCCAGTAGCCACAGGGCAGAGGCTGCGGGAGGAGGTTGGCCTGGTGAGTGAAGGCAGCTGCCAGCCCTGTACGGCCAGCCAGTGGTGGTTGTGGACTGGGAGCAGCTCCACTTCAGTAGCAAATCCCATGGCCCAGGGCCTTGGGTGACCTGTCCTGCTTTCTCTGGGACGGACCCAGTCTTGGGGACATGGAGTTCAGGTCCTCAGAAAACCTTCCTTGTGGGGCAGCGTTTGACATGACGAGTTTCTGGTCCTCCTCCCGTTGTAATGGGTCAGTCCAGCTCAGCTCTGCTGGAGGGAAGGGTGTGCCTGCCTCAGAGTATAGTCAGAGTCTGGACTTAGTGTCTGGTCTAAGAAGAAGAGCAAAGCTCAAGTTAACATTTAAGAGCCCTTAAGGGGCTTCAGATAGATCCATATCTGTCAGTTCCAGTTTGGGTTTTATTTGTGACTTGATGATGGTAATAAAACCATTTACTGAGCATTTACACTGTGCTGGTCTCAGTTTGTGTGGGGCACCTCTCTATGGATGGTCATTTCCTCCACTTTCTCAGATCACAGTCACAAGTGAAAGTCTGTGTGGTGTATCTTCAGGGCCACTAGGAGAGTTCCCTGAGGAGGTGGAGGGAATCTTAACTTGAGCAACCCTTTAGTTTTATAGATGAATGAAGAGAGGCCCGAGTAGTGAAGTGATTTGTCCCAGAATCAGCCCCATGATTCCCAGGCATCATCTGACAGATTTCCAACATAAACCCCACAGGGAGGAAGGCACATTCAACTCAAGCTCTCCCTGTGATGGGTTAAAATCTAGACAAATTGTTGAGATTTTCAAAGCTGAATACTTCTTCCTCACTGAGATAGTGCTATTCTCCAAAGAACACCCACCAAATACCTCCCCCCCCCCTTTACCAGTACTATGTTATGGAAGTCCCTGGGTGGCACTAACAGTTTGTACATGACTCTTGTCGACATTGAGTCAGACCAACTCATCGCTGACCTTCCAGTGGGTTTTCCAAGGCTGTAAACTGCACAGGGGGAGTTGCTGATGGATTTGAACCACCAGAGAGGTGCCACCTGTGGGTCTGTAGTGCAAGTCCCTACAAACAAACAAACAAAAAAAATTGATGGTTTAAACCCACCCCAGTGATACCAGTGGTACCATGGAAGCAAGGTCTGGCAATCTGCTCCTCCAAAGGTTACATACAGCCAGGGGAACACCATGGAACAATTCTATCCTGTAACACATGGGGTTGCCACGAGTGGAAATGAATTTCAAGGCAATGGGTTTTTTGGTTTGTTTTTTCACTCTTCCATAAGGGAGCTATAGTGGTGTTGTCTGTAAGAAGTTGCTCTGCTAATCCAAAGGCCGTGCCTCTCAGCTGGTTCAACTCTCTCAGTGGTTTCTCAGGAGAGAGATAGGCAGTCTCCTCTTGTGTGATTTACAGTGTCACAAAAACTCTCCAGAGGGTCAGCTGAGAGTTCTGACTTGATGGCAGTGAGATTCTACTGTGTGTGTTCTAAAGTGTGAAGAAGGAGACAGTTCATTCATTTACTAAACTATAACGATGTCTGCAAGATAGGGACAAGCATGTGTTTGGAGGAGCACATAGAAAGGCATCTGATCCAGACTTGGGCAAGGTCATCTTCCCAGGGGGAGTAGGAGTTGGTGAGGTGAAAGAAGGACCAGGAAGAAAATTCTAGGCAGCAGTTCTGTTGGAGTGGAGTAGCATGTTGGAGAAATGACTGGGTATTTGAGTTTGGGGCTGGGTGCAAAGAGGGGAATCTCTAAACTAGTGTCAATGGATGGAAGGGACAAGAGAGCAACAGTCAGCTGACAAAGGGCTGCATGAAGAACGACTTTTAGAAAGATTAGTACAAAGTTGTTTCCTGTGAGGTAGAGGTTAAAAATGTCCAACCTTTCCAGCCTCTTGTACCACTCCTCATCTCTAATGTCAGCTCGTTGTCCTCCCCTCAGCCTTCTTCCTGTCTTTGAGTTCTGCAATTTGCTTGCCATATATCAGAGAAACTCACACACCATCAGGGAAATGGCTCAAGTGGTTGTGGAGGCTGGCAAGTCCCAAAGCCATGGATCAGGCTGCAGTCTGGAGGGTCCGGCTGACCCCACGTGGCCGCAGGACTGATGAATGATGGGTGACTTGGCTTGCTGGGAGCTTCAGGTGGCCTTCTCTGTGTGGCCTCAGGGGCTGCAGAACAAAGGACAATTTGACGTGCTGGGTGACTGCAGCTCTGCGGGTTTATGGAGCAGCTGGATCAGGGCAAGGGCAGTATCCAGAGTGAAAAGGGTCAGACCTGAAAAAGAGCATTCTTATCCATAGGCTTTTAGGGCTATAAGCCATTCTCCCCAGGAGAACCAAAGGTAGCAACTTGAGTCATACTTTCTAGTAAGGTGAGGATTCTAGATAAACCCTACCCCAGTCCTGCCTCGTTTACACAGCAGAAAACTTGCTCCAGAATGGGGTCAGAGCACAAAGAGTCTAGAATTTATAATATATCGCCAAATGATACATAATCAAAGAGCTGTTACTTCATTGTACCATAAGGCTCTATAAATCCTGAAATGTTGAATTTTATCCTAAAAGCATGAGCAAGCCACTGAAAGATTTTAAGTTGAGGAGCCCTGTGGGCTGCTTTTAGAAAAGTCCCTCTGGCTGCAGTGAAGACATTAGGAGGCTTGTTCCTACGATCATCCAATTGAGCTCTGGTGGAGGAGTGCGTCAGGATAGGGAGGTAAGAAGAGTGGTTTCTGGGAGCCCAGGTGGCTTAGTGGTAAGGAATTGCTCTGCCGGTGTAAAGGTGTGTTGAGTCCACCAGCTGCTCCATAAAAGAAAGGTGGGCATTCTCCTGTGCGATTTACCCCTGACACCCGCTGGAGCTTCAGCTATGAGTTGGTCTCAGCTTGACAGCAATGAGTTGCATGAGAGCCTTCTGCTCTGTGGGTGCCTAAGAGAACAAACGTGCACGAGTAGGGTTCAGTGAAAGGCCAGTTGGACAATTTGATTTTAGACATAGTGGGATATCATTTAGAGCAAATAGACAGTTGCTATATCCCATCCTTAGACAAGGGGTACAGATTGGGAATGAAACACGTATGGCAGAGAATGAAGCTGTGTGTAAGGATCCCTTAGGAAGGGAGGTCAGCACAGAACCCCAGTGGGAAGCTCTTATGAAATGGGTCTGGCAGAATGGGAAACCAAGGCAAAGAAAGGGAGAGAGATTAACCTTGATAATTGTGTCTAAGAAGAAAACAAAACAAAGTGGTCTTTGAGTATATAGTTGGCATGAGCCTAAGGGTGTGTGTTAGGGTGGTGCAGGGAGGTGAACCCGGTGCTCAGTTCTGTGAGTGAATGATGAGAAAGAAAATGTAGTGAGTTAGCTGTATTAGAATGGTCTTGGCTCTTCTGTGTGTTTTAAAGATGGCTTGTTAAAGTTTCATGAAGAACCTTACAGGTGTTTCCTTGTAATTGCATTGGATTTATGATTTACTTTGATATAGATCTAAGACTGTACTCACATGATTTCTATTTATTTGTTCCATAGCTTCCCCCAAAATGACAATGTAAAGATCTCGTGTTTTATTAGACCAATCACTAGATAAATTATTGCTTTTCTCTCTATTGTAAATGGAGCATTTTAAGACATTATATTGTCTAATAGCTGACCTCTACTAAAAAGGAATATTTATTTTGATGTATTGCTTCTGACAAACTCTTAGTTAGAAGTTTGGGGTTTTTTTAAATTTTACTGGTTTTTGTGTGTGTACTGTCAAATTGGATCTGATTGGTACAGGAGATTGTCCTTCCTTCTCCAGAAGAGCATGTGGTGGATTTGAACCGTACACCTCTGGGATTGCAGTACGGCTTCTTGCCACCAAACTCTTAAAAGTTTTTATAGACAGTCTGTGGAATCTTTTCCGTTTTCTATTATATTTCCTACGTATACTGATGGCTTAATTTCTTCCTATTCAGTCTTTCAGTTTCTCCTTTCCTGTTCTTCTATGTTGGTTGGAACTGGTATTGTGTGAGCATGAATTATATTCTTTATAATATTCTTCACTATAAAGATAGTAGCTCTGGTGGCCTAGTGGCAAGAAGCTGCGCTGCAGTCCTGGAAGCATGCAGTTGGTGGCTGCCAGCCACTCCGCAGAAGGATGGGCAGTGTCCTCCTGTATGATTAACTGCCTCTGAAAACCCGCCAGAGGGTCATCTATGGGTTGGTTCCTACTCTACAGTACAACAGCATAAAGGTAGTGCTTCTCATATTTCATTATTGAGATATTTCATGTGGGCGCGCTCTGGTGGCCTAGAGGCAAGAAACTGCACAGCAATCCCAGAAGTGAGCAGTTCGAATCCATCAGATGCTCTGCTGGAAAAGGAGGGATAGTCTCCTCCTGTTCCAGTCAGATCTGATTTGACCATGTACACACACACAAACACACATGAAATATTTAATGTGAGGAGTTAGAACACATCTTTTCTCAGATTTAGGAAATGGCATTTCCTGCAGAAAACAAAACAGCAAAACCCAACAACCAAACTCAAAGCCATCATGTCGATTCCAACTCATAGCAACCCTATAGGACAGAGTAGGACTACTCATTCTGTAGGGTTTCTGAGGCTGTACATGTTTATGAAAGCAGAGTGCCTCATATTAATTTTTTTTTTTCCTACCCTAGGTGGCTGGCTGGTGAGTTCGAATCACTGACATTTTGGGTGGCTGCAGAACGCTTTTATTAGTGGTACTTGTTATTTAGGTTGTTAGGTACCGTTGAGTTGACTTCTGCTCGTAGTAACCCTGTGAACAACAGTTCTGGCCCTTGCTTTTTCCTGCACTAGCCTCACCAGCTCTGATATGCCTGAGCCCATTGTTACGGTCACTGTGAAAGTCATTGAGGTCTCTCTGACCCTCCGCCTTTCCCAGCATGCTGTCTCTTTCCAGGAACTGGCCCTTCCTGACAGCATGGCCAAAGCATGTGAGATTAAGATTCTCAGAGGAGCACCCTGGTTACACGTTTTCCGAGACAGACCTTGTTTATTCTTGCTATCACTGTATCTTGATTGCATGTTTATTGTTAGGTACCATTAAGGTGGCTTAGCCTCATGGTGACCTCTTGTAGAACAGAATGAAACCTTGCCTGATCCTATGCTGTCCTCACAGTCTCCACCGTTCTTAAGCCCCTTGTTGTCCCTGTGTTAATCGTATTGAAAATCTTCCTCTCTTTCACCGACTTCTACTCCCCAAGGTGTTCTGCCATAGTTCCAAGCAGGGCTTAAGATTGTGCTTTAAAGAGAGGCTGAGCAGAGTGGTGGTTGTGGGGGGAAGGAATGACCTGCATTTTCTTTTGCTTTCTTTTCTCTGAGTGGTGATGTAATGTCCCTGACATCTGTTCCTTGTCTCTTAATTCTTTCTCAGACTTATCTGGGCAATGTGGACTGTTAAAGCCAAGATCAGAATGACCAGACTGTCTGTTTGTAGGCCATTTCCTTCAGGGAGGATATAACCTGCCTGAGACCCCAGACCTCTCACCTTCTCCCAGACTTTGTCACTTCACCTGTCTCTCTAGAGTCCTTGACCTTTTTCTGCCGCCTCCTGGGCTGAGTGACCAGGTCAGGAAGAGCCACAGTTCTGAGCTTCTCACACTCCTTGGGGTATCCCCATCCCATAGTCCACACCACACAGTTCTTGGCCTTCTCACCATTTTTGGTTTCTGCCCACATAGGTCCAACGGGCGCTCCTCCAAGCGGAGCCTTGGAGGGCAAGGCCGGCACCATTACCTCCAACGAGTGGAGCTCTCCTAACTCCCCTGAGGGGAGCAACGTCTCTGGGGGCAGTCAAACCTTGGACAAGCCCATCGACAATGACGCAGAGGGCGTGTGGAGCCCGGACATTGAGCAGAGCTTCCAGGAGGCCCTGGCCATTTACCCACCCTGTGGGCGACGCAAAATCATCCTGTCGGATGAAGGCAAAATGTACGGTAAGGAGCCTGTTGGGGCTGGACAACAGGGCTTTATGATCAAGTCCTGAAAACTGACGAGGAAAGTCGACTAGAGAGTGAACTTGGAGCCTCCTCTGAGTACCAGAAGGGGAAATGACCTCTTGGAGATGCCACTATGCAAACACTGCTTTGTCTTCTGCATTCACAAGGGATAGGAAGATATCTGAGGCGAATCTTTTGAGTGGAGAGTGGGGCACAGAGAGAAACCATGCGCTGGAAAACTTGAGACAAGAGCCCTGAGGTAGGGTAGATCGACCTCCCAGGGCCGACTAGGAAAGCCCAAGAGCCTTCCCTCAGGTAATGTCTGACTTTGGCCAGCCTGCCTTCCTTCTTTGGCTGTGAAGGTTGTTAGGAATGAGATCACTGGATACTTTTCTCATTCATTCATTCACTTATTTACTCATACCTCTAACAAACATGTGCAGAGTGCTCTGGTGGCAGAGTTCAGTAGGGAGTTGTGCTTGCTCCTTCAGAGACCATATCTCTGCTGGTTCAAATCCACCAGCTGTTCTGAGGAAGGAAGAAGGGCATGCTCCTCCTTTGTGATTTACAATGATTGACAACCTTGTATATCCAAAGGAGGGTTGACTGAGTTGTTTTGACTCAGTGGTAATGAAATGGTTTTTTTGTTTGTTTTTTGTGTTGTTTTTTTTTTTTAAATTTGTTTTTCATTGTTCAACATTTTCTTCCCCTAACCTACCCTGCAGTGCACCCATTGTTCGAGATTGTTGTCATTCCTATAATACCTAATCATATATGTCTTTCAGACACTTCCTCCCCTCATCTGATCTAATGCAGTGTTCCTTATCTATTCACTCATTTCCCATTCTCCCCAGCCCCCCCATGTCTGTCCTATTTTGTAACAGCATTGCAGTGCAGTGTTTGTCCTTTTGTGACTGAGATATTTCACTCAGCGTAATGTCCTCCAGGGCCCCCATGTTCTGAAATGTTTTATGAGTTCATTATTTTTCAGTGCTGCATAATATACCATTGTGTGACTATACTGTAGTTTTTTTATCCATTTGTTTGCTGATGGGCATTTGGGTTGCTTCCTCTCTTTGCTATTGTGAATAACACAGCTGTAAACAAGGATATGCATACATCTGTTTGAGTCGAGACTCTGGTTTCTTTAGGGTGTATTTCCAGTAGTGGCCCTGCTGGGTCAAACGGTATTTCTCTTTCCAACTTTTTGAGAAAAGTTGGAAAGACCCCCTTCTGTAGTGACTGTACCATTTTATATTCCCAACAGCAATAAGAGTTCCAGTCTCTGTATAACCTCACCAGCATTTGTTGTTTGCTGCCCTTAGCTATTGTTGCTGGGTGGTAATGACTTTTTTAAAAAAAAAAAAAAATAAAATTTTATTAATTTTATTAATTTTAGTGAACATTTACAGAAATTTTGGATTTCCATTCATTCATTGTTGCACTTTTCTCCCTGCCCAGCCCTCCTCTCCAGTACATGCCTCTCTTTGAAAAGTAAAAGAAAAATTCTTTCATTGGTATAGAATCCCCCCACACCCCTTACCACCACCACGCTGAGTACACTACACTACGCAACCTTAATTCTGGACTCTTGTGATAACCATAATACCTATCATATATTGCTTTTAAATTGTTCTCTCCCTCATGGTAATGACTTTTTAATGAGATAGTGGCTTGAAAGAAAGATCTTGGGATCTATTTATGAAAAATCACTTCAGGACTAGCCATCTGTGGTGCAACAATTGGCTGCTCCCTGTCTGGCACTAAGAAGAGTAAAGAAAATCTGAGTTTGTCAGTCCAGAAAATGATTGGGTCCCATGAACTTAAGAGTTTCTACGGCCCTGAGACCAGAAGAACTAGACTGGTGTTCAGCTACCACTACTGGTTGTTCAGAAAGTGGAAGGTCCATAGTAGAGTGGGAGGAAAAAAATGTGGAATAAAAATTCAAAATCCTAGAAAAGGCCAGACTTACTGGCCTGGTAGAGAGTGGTGACACCCTTGAGACCTTGGCTCTTAGACACCCTTCAGGCCTGGAACTAACCTCACTTCTGTTTCCTCAACTTTTATCAAGTGGCAAGATAGGCTTATTAGGTGAACAGTCTCTAGAACTGTCACCCGTATGAGATAAAAAAGGCAACCTTTGCTCAGAGATAGTGTTCAGAAGGTTTGAAGGATTAAGAAAGACACGCCTGAAAATGGAAGACACAGCAGGGAGTAGGAAGAGTGCATTCTGTGGATTGTAGTCAGTGTCACAATACAAAGTGTATCAATTATTGAGTGGAAAACCTTTCTGTCCACTCAAATTCCAAGAAAGTTTTAAAAAGAAACCTCTCTGGAGCGGAGTTGTACTCCAGCACACATGGAGCTGCTATAAATTGGAGTTGACTCAGTGGCAGCGGGTGTGGTGTGTCAGAGCTGTGTGAGGGGCTCCCAGGAGCTGATGAAACTCAATTCTGATTACTTCTGGTCCAGGGAGGAGTGGAGCTCTCACAGCCCTCCTCTGTTTTTCCTTTACCTAAAGCCTTTCCTCCTGGTCCTGAGTGATACCTTCCTTTTTCAGATCTTTATTATCTCCTTCAATCAAATGTACAGGTTAACACTTTTAACCTTTACTCATTATTTTAATGGATTTTTTTTTAATCTTTTGCTTTTTGGGGAGATAAGGTCTTTTTAGCTAGACCCCTGATTTGCTCCTCAGTTGCTGGTTAGAACTGCTTATCTTCTACCAGTCCACTGCTGGTTTTATTTAATTCCCAACCGGTCCCTTTTTCACCCTTTAAGTCATCACTCCTGTGTCAGCCTCTAGGTACTACTTATCTTTTAACCCTTCTCTTGCTCTAATGCACTTAGAGAAGCTTCGTGGAAAAGATAGCTGATGTCTATGGGACACCTCTTGGGTATAAGTTGTGATACTGAATTCTTTACATCGGTTATTCCCATTTAACAGATGTGGAAACTGAGTCTCTGAAGATCCTCGGCTCTTTCCATGCATGACTTGAGAATGAAGAGGGTGGGTGGGTTCTGGTTGTAAGCTAAGGAGTTGAGAAAGGGTAGGGTTTGTACAGGAGAGGACAGTTTGGCAAGACAGGTATCAAGTTCCTTGTTGGGACGACATGATAAGGACATATCTTTAAAGGATGCTTTAAAGGAACAAATGGTCTGATAAACGTTGACCTTTCAAAGGGGCTGAGGGTGCTATGAGGGTCTGGGAGATATAAAATCAGCACTTACCTGATTTGCCACCAGGGACCAGAGTCTTTGTTGGTTTACTTACTTTTTAAAAATTTTTCACGATATACGTGAACAAGGTTTATTACGGTAATGCAGAGGAGGCATGATTGGTGAAAGATAGGCTGTGCAGAAGGGTTAAAGAGAAAAGGAAGGAAAGGGAGGGAAAGCCAGGGGTGGAGCCAGCAGAAATAGGGTGAGCGTTAGGTGGGCACTGCTTTTATTGATTCTCATGAGGTCTCGTGAGACTGTCTATAGCCTGGCCCCACCTAGGGACCTGTGGGTTTGGTTGGAGTAGACTAGGATCTTTGGATGCTTCCTTTAATTTCATCCTTAAGGGTAGATATTTGACATAGAGAGACAGCAGGGGCCTCAAGCAAAGTAACAGTTGTCCATCCACTAGGAATTGGAGTTGATGCAGTTGTTATGGGTTTCAATGTGGGTTCAAACCATCAGCCCTTTGGATCTCAGCTGAAGCATTGCACCCACCACCTGGTTTCCTTAGAATCCTCTTTTTTTTTTTTTAATGGTGCCAATTTTAAATACATCTTTATTTGAGACATTGCATTTTCCACTTACAATACAATGATAATAAAGTGCAATGTTAATTCCTTTCCCTATACACACATTCCATATTCAAGTATTGAGAATGCCCAGAAATTTAGTTTAGTAGTTTAGACTTTTCAACTGCAGTGTGCTACAAATTTGGGTCCTTCAAAATTTAACTGTGGGACAATGAATGCTATAAAGTATTCAGATTGCTTTAGTCAACCTCTTCAATGGTGGGTCCAGAAGAGGCACCACCAGATGGAGGAGCTCCACCACCAGGGAAGCCGCCGGGCATGCCTCCAGCACTCTGGTACAGCTTGGTGATGATGGGGTTGCAGACCTTCTCTAGTTCTTTCTGCTGATGCTCAAATTCCTCCTTTTCTGCAGTCTGATTCTTATCAAGCCAGTTGATAATTTCATTGCACTTGTCAAGGATCTTCTGCTTGTCCTCGTCATTGATCTTGCCTTGAAGCTTTTTATCTTCAACTGTTGCTTTCATATTAAATGCTTAAGACTCAAGGGAATTCTTAGAAGACACCTTATCTCTTTGCTTTTCATCTTCAGCTTTGTACTTCTCAGCCTCCTGGACCATTCGTTCAATGTCTTCCTTACTCAAGCGGCCCTTATCATTGGTGATGATAATCTTGTTTTCTTTCCCAGTGCTCTTGTCAACAGCAGAAACATTAAGGATACCATTGGCATCTATATCAAATATGACTTCAATCTGAGGAACACCACGAGGTGCAGGTGGTATCCCAGTGAGCTCAAACTTGCCAAGCAGGTTGTTATCTTTGGTCATGGCACGCTCACCTTCATAAACCTGAATGAGTACACCAGGCTGGTTGTCAGAGTAGGTTGTGAAGGTCTGCGTCTGCTTGGTAGGAATGGTTGTATTCTGCTTGATGAGGACAGTCATGACTCCATCAGCAGTTTCAATACCAAGAAAAAGTGGAGTGACATCCAGGAGCAGCAAATCTTGAACATTTTCAGATTTGTCTCCAGAGAGAATGGCCACCTGGACAGCTGCACCATAAGCAACAGCCTCATCTGGGTTGATGCTCTTGTTCAACTCCTTTCCATTGAAGAAATCCTGAAGAAGCTTCTGAATCTTGGGAATTCTGGTAGAACCACCCACCAGGACAATATCATGGATCTGTGACTTGTCTAGCTTAGCATCCCTCAGAGCTTTCTCCACAGGGTCCAGAGTGCCACGGAAAAGA